TCAGCCCTGTCTGTGTTTGCAGTCCACCCGGGATCGCACTCTGGACCAGCAGTGCACGGTCAGCCGCCCTGGGCTGGCCATGGTGGCTGGAGCCCTGGCAGTGGAGTTGATGGTTTCTGTCCTGCAGCATCCAGAAGGGTGAGCTGTTCTGAGTGTTCTCTGAGAAATCTGGATCATTTCATAGAATCTGCAGGGAGGAGGAGGAATTACAGCTCAAGGACAATTCTGGGAGGGGTGATGTTTGTAAATTAATGCAGTGTGCAGTGTTTGGGGGAACTGCTTCATCAAGTCTTAAATTTTTTTTCTCTTTCTGAATTTAACCACAGAGAAGTATTAAGAATCTTTGAAAAGCAGAAAATGTTGCTGTTAGTAATGCTGGCCTTCCTTTGCTGAGCAGTGTTTGGGTGTGATGAGGAGCTGCTGTAACCTGTGGCACATCAAGGGCTTCAAGATAAGCCCTGTGTTGCAAATCTTATTTCTAACTCAGTGTGTGTGATACAGAAATTACTCAGAACATAAAGCTTGTTTTCTCTCTTTAAAACCTGTGAGAGAAGAAGTGACTTAGGAGTTGAAGATGAGTCTCAGACTGATTTATATGTATTTATCATGCTGAATCTTGCTTCCTATGAAACAGACTTTCCACATAGATTCCTTGCCTCATTCTAAGCTGTAGCAAAATGCCTGGAAGCTGACTGGAAATTCTGAGTGTGTTGTCTTGCTCTGATTTTCCCTGTTGGGTTTTTGGCAGTGGTTATGCTGTGGCCAGCAGCAGTGATGACAGAATGAATGAACCACCCACTTCCCTTGGGCTTGTTCCTCACCAGGTAAATTCTTTGTGATAAAACTTTTGTTGAAGAGCTGGGAACTGATCATCACAGATGTTGTGTCATTAAAAAAATGCTGATTCCATTCCCCAGAGGACCAGCTCTGCATGTTTATTAAAAAATAAATCTAAATAATATTAACTCATCACATCTCAGGCAGGATGTTCCTGGCATTGTGGTTGTGCTACTCATGGACACAAAAGTCCTGCTACCTACTGAGCAGGAATTTGTTTGGAGCAGAAATTATGTGAATAAAGCAATTTCTGACTTTTCTGTTCTCCATCAGAGCTGCCAATATGAGCGTCTTAAAGTTCACTTCTTAAATCTCTTCAGTTTCAAAACAATCCAAATCAGCCACCTCCCAATTATTATGTGAGTTGGCTGATTATAATTATTAGTTATTGTTATTAGCACAAAATATTCATGCTGTTTTGGTACTATACAGCACTTCTTTCTTCAACTCAACCCACACTCTTACTTACAAATGTGTTACAGATTTTCAAAAATTCACTTTTAAAATTTCAAAATTGAGGTATTATTATTATTATTTGTATTGCAGAGTTACTTAAGTTCTGTTCCTGGTGACATAAACAGAATAAAAACGATGATCAATACTCCAAAGTGTTCACAATTGAAGTGATCAAACCCTGCTGCAAAATGTTTTCAGTGCTCCTTCTGTTAGCAGAAAGAGTGGTCTGAATTTCAAAATTGCCAATCAATAATATCATATTAACATCATCTTTCAGGAATGCACAGCAGTTAAATGTTCAGCCTGCAGGTTACAGAGATAGAGACAGAAGTGTTTAAGTGGTCACACCGTGACACTTTATTTTTCATGGAACTTTGCACTCAGAAAAGGCCAACTGCAGATGGTGCTGTGCCTCCATTTCTGGGGTAATAATGCTGCATTTAGGCAGTTGTGCCATTATTTGTACATCCAAAAGCAGTAATAGGTGCTTACTATAAATTCACTACAAGTTTAACTGAGGATGACTATTAGAACATGACAGATACTCTTTTTATGGAATGTCCAGTTCATGTTGAATTTTGGAAATGTTTAAAATAATAATGTATTTATTTTTTTTTTTATCTTCTAGATCCGAGGATTTTTATCCAGATTTGATAATGTTCTGCCAGTCAGCCTGGCATTTGATAAGTGTACAGCCTGCTCAGCCAAGGTAAGGCTGAGTTTGTCTGTGCTTTCTAGTATTTTTATATTTCCAGATCAATTTTGGGGAACTTTTTGACATTTTTTTTCTCTGACTTCCTTAGGGCTTGGATCTGTTCCCACTTCAGCTAAAGTTCTTTTGCCCTCATAGCTTTCTTTTTGAGCTGTTTTCCAAATTTCTTTGGCATCACCTCTTAGCTGCATTGTTTATCTCCACATAAATGCTGCCATCAGCTGAAGAATCCCAGCAGGGATTGACCAAAATATTTCTGAAAAGTTTACTACAGAAATACTGTCATTATCTTTCAGCTTTGTAGGAAGCAATGAGATTGGTATTATTTAAGAAATCCTTTCTGATGTCTGTTTTATAAATATCCCTTTAGTCTTCTGCAGCTCAATGTCTTTCCAAATAGGCAAAATAGTCAAAATTTCTGGTTTGTGGTACAAAACAGACAAATAATAAACAATTGAGGGGAAAAATTGCTTCTTACCATTCCTTTATTGAGCAGATTGTTCATTTTGCTGCTGTTTCTGCCAGTCCTGAGTCACCTCACAGTTCCCAGCTGTTTCTTGGCTCTCAGGGGCAGCTCTTGCATTGTTTCCCTCTCCTGTGGCCTTGAAAAGTTCCCCCTGGAAAGTTTTTTCTGGCTGTGAAGTGCAACTTCCAGAAGTTTTCCCTGAGTTATCTCAGCAGGGACATTCAGAGGGTTTTTGACTCCTGGTTTGAACTGTTTGGAGTGCTGTTAATTCACTCTCCTGTACTCTGGGACTGACTGCAGGAAGTTCTCTCTGTTCCTTTCACTGCACTTGTCCTCCTTTCCAAGAGCCATCAAACAATAATGGGATGTTCTCCAATGGCATCTTTTAGAGAATTTGCACAATATCTTCTTCTCCAGTGTTCCTTTGTTTCCTCTGGGCTATCTGGGTACATCTGACAAGTTTTGAAGGACTCTTAATGTGCATTTTCTCTTCAAAAGTTGAAGCACTAAAGTCGAGTGTTTCTAAAAATAACAGCAGTTTTATCTGCCCTGTTGAAGAGCTGAAAGCTCAGCAGTAGCTAAAACCTTGATGGTGGAGAATTTAAGCTGTTAGAAGAAGCTTTTTCTTTCTCTTTTTCTCTTATTTTTGCCTTATCTCCAATTCAGGAAACACTGATAGGTAAAAACAATAAAAATGGACATCCACACAGATAAATTCAATGCAGGGATCAATTTTTCCTTAGCAAATCATTTCCTCTTGGAGGTCATTTTAAGAGAGCCCCGTTTTACATAAACAGACTTGATGATTTAATAAAAACTGCCTTGGATTTTAGCAGCTGTGCTATTCCCAGAGAGATCACTTTTCATGTGGTTTGGAGATTGAATTACTTGTGTGCTGAAAAGGTTGCTCCATTGGCTCAGGGATTTCCTTACAGTAGAAACACAGCCTTTGTTTACTTTGCTAACTTTATTTATTAGCAGAAGAATATGTCACCCTGCATTATGTGGAAATCTGATGCAGATACTTTGACATGACAAATCCAATTACGATTTAATTGTAGTCTGTATGTTGGTTTGTTGTGTGAGGGTTTGTTTGGTTTGCTTTGTTTTTTAATAAGGTAATTTAGCATCATTTCTTCCTGCTCTAGTTCAGAATTACTGGAGATTCAGACTTTCAGCACAGATAGAATTGAATTTGCTGGCATTGTGTTCATCGTGGGGTTTTTTTGTCAGCATTCTCCTTCCTGAGCTCTTGTAACTCTTAAAGCACAAAACTAAGGAATTTTAGAATTCCAGTACATCCTGAAGCCCAGCAGGAGGACTCAGGAGAAGCTGCTAAGGATCTGCATGTTTGGAGATCTGAGTCCTTTTCATTTTATCTCATTTCTCTGCTTTTGAGGCTGCAGAGGCCAGACATGCAAGGAGCCAACTTTTCCTTACCCAGAATTGTCCTGCCCAAACCACGTGCCAGAGAAGCTTCCTGCAGGCAATTGTTCAGGAATTTTGGGATGGTTACAGCAGGAAACCAATCTATTTCTATTCTGGGCCAATTTTTCCTTGTATGATTCTCCCTCTGTCTTTTTCTGGCTGTGCAGAAGCTGTGCTGGAATGTCAAATATCCCAGTGAGAGCTCAGGGCACTGGGAGAGCAGTGAGAGCTCTTCTGCTGCCAAACTTGTTCTAGCACCAACCAGGGACACTCCAGAGTTCTTTAGGATGGATATTTATCTGTTACAACTGCTTTAGTTACAGGAGAGGATGTTTAGCTTATTACTGGGCTAATTAACCTATTTACCCTGTTGGGAGCAAAATCAGGCTGTTTGTTCATTATATTATAGTGAGAAGTGTTGCAATTCCTTGGAAAACAGATCTGATCCTTGCAGAAAACTGGTTAAAGCTTTAAATCATGAGTGTTAAAATATGGATATATTTTAATGCAAAACTGCCAGTGTTTCTGTTTTAATGAGGGCAATGAAAATTTCCTTTTATTGCTCCCTTCTCCTTCTTGTGCATCATGGAATGAACAAGGAGACCCCACAGATCCAGAGTTTAATGTTTCAGAAGATAATTGCCACCAACCAACCTAAATATGAAGATATGAAACCCCTCTGTTTTTACACATAGCTCACATTTCTTCCAGAGTTAGCATTTAGCACCCATGCACTGGAAATCTGACTTGTTCTCCTTAAAGAGATTCCTCTCCTTCCCCTACTTAGAGTCCTTCTCATGTGTAGCTACTCCCACTATGAAATCTATAAAAATCAGCACAAGCATCTCTGCTAATTTCCAAGTTCTTTCCTAACTCTGTCCTCGGTGTGCTGGGAACCTGAGCTGCTGCAGTGCCTTTTTCCCCACTGAGTTCATGGTGAATGTTTTTCAGTTTCATTGTGTGTCACCAAGGGGCAGACACTGGCATCAGGGATGGGATTATTGACATTATGTTACAATTTGTGTTTTCAGTCAGGATTTTCCCCTGTCCTTGCAGATGTTTTCCCTTTTTGCCATCCCAGGAATACATGAAACCCTTGTGCTGTGACATTTACAGAGGCCTGGGGTTGTGTAAGTTATTAATGAGCGTTGCAGTTTGGAAATCTGTCATCGTGGAGCCTCAACAATGCTCTCATTGTTCTCCTCTGCTAACTGCTGTGCCTGCATTTTTATTTGACATTGTTCTGATCACTCAGGACAGCAACCTGCAAGAATCAGTCACTCACTGATGTTTTTCACTTGAGATAATTTTGATTTTGATTCCAAGCCCCTCAGATTTGCCCTGAGTGCACTAAGACATTCCTATTTGCTTTCTCCCAGTAGCAATGGATGATCTGTCACTGAAACTCCTTTAAATCTTTTTATATTATACATTTCTCAGTTCAAGTATTGTGTGGATGTTAAAGTCATGGTGGGAAAACGCCTTGGTCTTTCCTGTGCTTAAAAAAAAAAAAAATCTTGTAGAGCTTGCAGAAATGATGAAGGAAATGGGGAAAAATGTTTGTCCTTCAGCAATGACCATTCCCAAAATTTAAGAGAATCCTTTAAGAGTTGTTTCTGTAGCTGTGCTGTAATGTGAAGTCAGTGAAACAGAGTCCATTTATAACTTTCCTTATTTCCTGAATTTCCATATGTGAACACTTGACAAGTGTCTGTGCAGTGCAGCCTCTGTATTAATATTGGATAGATTTCACTGGGACTTGAAGAATGCATCAGGAATACACCAGGGCATATTTTCAGCATACTGAGTTAAACGTAGGACTTCTCCTAGAAATTAATAAAAATTAATTTTCCCATTGTTACATTTAAATTTCAAAGTAGTAGGGTTTAAGGGAAAGAAGAAACCTGCCATTATTTAAGAGAATGGAATCATTTCTGACAGGTTGTATTTCTGTTGCATTTAAATGAAATTTTATGGGTCCTAAAGGGTTGGGTTTTTTTTCCTAGTATTCTTCTTCCAATTCAAGGAAATTCTAACTACAATTGTGACAGAGTAAAGGACTATCAATGAGGAAAAAGACAGCATCACTGTAGTTTTCTGGAATTGACATGTTCAATATCTACCTGAGCCTAGAATATATTTTTTAATTATTTATATTGGATATAATCTGTGCTGTCTTGTCATCTGTCTGTGAAGCTGTTACACAATTCCTTTTCTATCAGTTCAAACTCAAATACTTTGGCTTGAAATACCTGCCTACAAGAACTGCAAAAACAAACCTGGAGAACTGAACTGGATTAAAATTCAGGAATATTCAATGTGTGGTGTTGGGGTGGTGATGATGGTGGAGTTCATCCCACCATCAATTGCAGCCCTCATTCTGTAGGATTCCACCTGGAACTCAGAAGATCACTTGTTTATTTTGCTGCATGTGAGCAATTTGTAGTTGTTCTTTTTTTCCTTCCATGAGATTTTTGCATTTTTGCAGCCTGATGCTTTCTATTGCCAAAGTTCATTGTTCAGTTATTCCAAGTTTCCAGTGCATATTCATGGAGACACAATATTTTCGATGATTTGTTTCTCATTTTAATGATATTTTCTATTTTAATTCTTGTACTCATTTTTCAGATGTTTTTCTGCATTCTCATTGCAGTCTTTGACAGGTGTCTGTCTACCCTGATGCCATTTTCTTAAACTTCACTAATCATCAGCCTTGCTTTATTGGAAAGCTGGTCTTTGTTTGCAAATATTTTTGAACAGTTTAAGCTAAGTTTGACTTTTTTTTCAATTTTCCTACCTTTTTACAGTGCTGATGTATCTGTCCTTGTAGAATTATATGTTTTGTTGAAACTGGAAGAGTGGAGGGTATTTAATAGCAGAAATGGATGAAATCCCTTAAATATGGTTTTGAAGAAAGTGCTGTTGCTCCTCCAGTGCTGTTTTGCATAGGTAATAAAATAATAAATATAAGCTAATAAAGCCCTCTGCTCTGGAATAACCCACAAAATGTGAATTTTGGAGCACTGAGCAGCTGCAGTTAGTGCCTGAGGCAGTGCCAGTTCTGGGTGCTCAGTGTGTGACAGATCTGCCTCTTGTTGAAGTG